AAAACATTAGAAAGGTTCAATAATCAACCAAAAGAAGTAACCATCCAAGATCTCCAAGCCGAAATTAACATAATCAAAACAGAAATTAAAAACCTCAAGACAGTTTCATAAGTCATCAAAATTGATATCAATAAGATAAACACAAATCCTACCTTCTCCCTTAAAGGAAAAGACTCATCCTCTGATGAAGAAGAGTCTAACCATTCAGAATCCTCACAAAAACTCCAAACCCTAACTCACATTTCATTTCAAAAAGGGTATGCTAAAGTTACCCTTATCATCAACACAAACTTTAAGCTTGAAGTCATTGCCTTAATTGATACAAGAGCTAATCTTAATTGCATACAAGAAGGTCTCAGACCAACTAAATACTATGAGAAAACTTCTGAAAAGCTAAGCTCAGCTAATGGAAGTAAAATGGATATCAAATATAAATTGTCCAAAGCTCACATTTGTCAAAACAATGTATGCTTTAAGACATCCTTTGTTTTGGTTAAAAATATGACTGATAAGCTAATTTTAGGGGTCCCGTTTATTACCTTGTATATCCATTCACCACTAATAATGAAGGATTAGTCACTCGTCCATTCGGACAAGAAGTTCAGTTTAAATTTTTAAGTCCCCCTTCTAAAAAAGAATTAACATCAGTTATTGATTCCTCTGTCTCCAAAACAATAAACTTACTTCAAAGTAAAACTCAACAATTGAAGTTTTTTAAAGAAGAAGTCAATTATAAACGCATAGATGAACAATTAATTGACCCAGTCCTTCAACAAAAAATTCACGATTTTGAACAATAAATTACACGACAAGTTTGTTCTGATCTTCCAACTGCTTTAGGCATCGCAAAAGACACTTCGTTAAGTTACCCTACATTAAAGGATTTAGGAGACAACATATTCCCACTAAAGCAAGACCAATCCAGATGAGCCCAGAAGTTATGGAATTTTGTAAAAAAGAAATTTATGATCTTTTAAGTAAAAAGATTATTCGTAAAAGTAAGTCACCATGGTCTTGCCCAGCTTTTTATGTCCAGAAAAAATCCGAAATAGAAAGAGGAGTGCCCCGTCTAGTTATTAACTATAAACCCCTCAATAAAGTTTTAGAATGGATAAAGTATCACATCCCTAATAAGAAAGACCTTATTAGCCGCCTAAGTCAAGCAATCATTTTTTCCAAATTCGATATGAAATCAGGATTTTGGCAAATCCGTCTTAGAAAAAAAGATAGGTATAAAACTACCTTCACTACTCCATTTGGTCATTATGAGTGGAAAGTCATGCCCTTTGGATTAAAAAATGCCCCTAGTGAATTCCAGAATATTATGAATGACATCTTCAATCCTTACAGTCATTTCTCTATTGTCTATATTGATGATGTCCTTCTTTTTTCTAAGTCCCTTGATGAATACTGGAAACATTTAAAAACGTTCCTTGCCATTATCCAAAAGAATGGTCTTGTTGTTTCTGCTTCCAAGATCACGTTATTCTAAACCAAAATCAAGTTCCTAGGTTATCATACTCATCAAGGACAAATTCGTCCTATTGATAGGTCAATCCAGTTTGCTGATAAATTTCTAGATGAAATTCTTGAAAAATCACAACTCTAAAGGTTCTTAGGATCTCTCAATTATATTGCTGATTACTACAAAGACCTCCGCAAACAATGTAAACCCCTATTTGATCATCTTCAGAGTAATCCTCCTCCATGGACTTCCGTTCATACTGTTATAGCCAAATCCATTAAACAATATGTCAAGTCTTTGCCTTGTCTCGACATTCCAACTACTGATTCTTTCAAAACATTGAAACTGATGCCTCAGATATTGGTTATGGTGGCATCCTCAAATAACGAGTCAGTCCAAATGCACCTGAACAATTAGTTCGTTTCCATTTTGTTGTTTGGACAAAAGCACAAAGTAACTATAGTACTATTAAGAAAGAAATTTTATCTATTTTGTTATGTATTAGTAAATTTCAAGATGATATTTTAAACTAAAAGTTTTTAGTCAGAGTTGATTGTCAAAGTGCCAAATATGTTTTAGAAAAAGATGTTGAAAATATTGCTTCCAAACAAATTTTTGCCCGGTGGCAAGGTATTTTAAGTATCTTTGATTTTGATATAGAATATATCAAAGGAAGTGACAATTCTATTCCAAATTTTCTTACTAGAGAATTCCTGCAGAATGGCAAACAGGCAACCTCCCCGATGGACCCCCCAGGGGAAATAAGCAATTGAACCATTTGATATTTGCCCCGGAGCCCCCCGTGGCCCTCCAGTACCCCAAGTAACTCAAACTCAGTCATCTGCCCTTGCAGTAGTCAATAGGTTTCAGCCACTTACACAAGTATCCACATTTAAGTCAGCCCTTGTCAATCCTACCCTAGACCCCTTCTAGGTCCAGGTGAAAGCCCCAGTCAGTCAAAACCTACAACCCATTCTAAAGAAGTCATCCAGTGATTATTTAGAAAAACCCCCTGTCCCTCGTTTTTATATTGAACTACACTTGAGTCACATAAAGGAACCCATCACCTTGGTGCAATCCTATTTCCCTAGTAACCTCCATTTTTGCCTAAGTCATCCTCAAAAAACACTTGGATTCTATAGAGACATTCTCTACTATACTGAATCCATAACCATCAGGTCAATTCCAGACCGCAATGATCCAACCAATGTCGTCTATCACTCCCTATACATCTGGAGGATCATTTCCATGGAAGAATGGGGTGTTCATCCTTCTTTGCTTCAACCTCTTCCCGGTCATGAAATTCATTTTAGTTATTATGACTACATGGCAGCCTAGTCAACAATATTGTTACACCAAAATAAGTCATTTACTCATTCTTTGTTTATTAATTTTGATAACAAGTTCAAAATTCAAATCCCAACCTAGTTTCTCAAATGGTGGTTATAACATAACGCCATTCCAGAAATCCTGCCCCTCACCCTTACAGACCAAGTAAAGTATTTTCATACTGTTTACAAAGTTAACAAACACAATTCTCAGTTTCCAATTCTCCTCCTATTTTCTTGTAAATATAAGGTCCCCTGGATATTCAAATGGCAGTATGATATCCAAAACAATACAGCCATTCGACGCCATTACGCCAAATGGTGCGACACTTTCAAATTTGATAGGATCATGGATATGTTGAAGATGAATTTCCAAAACATATTCCCAAACAGGTTACTCCAGTCATTTCAACACAAGTTCAGAAGCAAAGTAAACCGGAACAGGCCTCTTCTGAGAACACAACCCGATCCAGAAGACCTCTTAAGTTAGAAATTGCAAAACTTGAAGAAATGGCAGCATCAATCTTAGACCGTATCCAAGACCTCTCTCAGGATGATGAAGAGGCTGATGACGCATCCTCAGCTGCTGAATCAAGTCACCCAAGGAATCCATATAATGATTCTTTGTATCAAGATAGCCAAGATCCATTTGCACGATCAAAGTCAAAATACAAAATCCAAGTCAAAATCACTATTTGGTCAGAAACACTATTTGCTACAGTACCCGGTCAGAATTACTATTTGCTACAGTACTAATCAGCAGAATCACTATTTCTACAGTCCCCCGACAAAATACTATTCATCTACAGTAAAAAAACAAAAACATCTCAGTTAGGAAAGTCAGAAGCATCTTCTAAAGCCAAAAGTTATGCCACAGATTCAGGGAAGATGTCTCCAATAGTCCTTCAACAGTCCAGAAGCTTGGATATAAATTCAGAGGCCCTTCCAAGGGATAGGCAGGCTTTATTCAGAGAGAGAGAATTCCGGTTTCGAGATATTTTCCATTGTAATATTTATTTCCTTTGTATTATTTTTATCATTCCGGACGGCAGTACAACACCAGTATGTTGTACACATCCGATATCTATCAGATATCTATCAGTAATTTTGTAAGTTAACTTCCATTTGTAATTTCCATTCCAGTATTGTAATTTGAATTATTATTTCAGTTAAACTATTATTAATTTGAATTATCTTATTCAGTTAAACTATTATTACTTTCTGTGTAATTTGAACTTTGAATTATCTCATTCAGTTAAACTATTATTACTTTCTGTATAATTTGAATTATATCTCTTTGAAGTTAATGTGCGCTTCCCCATTTGGTATCTCAATCACAATATTTGTATCTTTATCCTACGAAAAATAAATATTTGTATCTCTACAATTCTCTCCTTTGTTCTAGGTTCCTCTCCTCCTCCTTATTTTTATCTTCATAAAAAATTTGTTTTCTCTCTTTCTTCCATTTTCCTCTTCTCGAACGGACTAATACTGAGAAAACAACCACAAAGATTTAGAAATGAAAAAAAGAACACTACAAACAAAGGGGAAAAAAGGAACAAGATATTCCAAATTTTTATTCATTTATTTTTCTGATACAAAAAAAGAATAAATTATCTTTAGTGTGCAAAAGCTCCACATTACAATAAACAACTCAAGGTAAATGTCAGCAATTGTTGCAGGATTAAATGCAAAAAAATAAAAATAAAAATAAAAGAATAAAAAAATGGAGATGAACAGGGCTAAATTCTGAACTGCACTAGATCAAGATCAATCTCTTTCGAAACATAATGGAAGTTACAGATTCACAACATGATATTACGGTACCATTATCAAAGTTGATGATCAATCAAAAGTGTATATATATATATATATATATATATATTTCTCAATCACAATATTTGTATCTTTACCCTTCGAAAAACAAATATTTGTATCTCTACAAGTGTTTCTGTCTCTCTCCTTTGTTCTAGGTTCCTCTCCTTTTTCTAATTTTCTCTTATAAAAATTTTCTTTTAGATTACACTTGGCTGCCAACTCATATGCCATATCATTCATGCATGATACTATAACATGAAAATCATTCATGATATCTTTATCATCTATATACTGTTTTCTCTCTTTCTTCCATTTTCCTCTTCTCGAACGGACTAATACTGAGAAAACAACCATAAAGATTTAGAAATGAAGAAAAGAACACAACAAACAAAGGGAAAAAAAGGAACAAGATATTCCAATTTTTTATTCATTTATTTTTCTGATACAAAAAAACAATACCTCATCTTTAGTGTGCAAAAGCTCCACATAACATTATATAACTGGAAGTAAATGTCAGCATATGTTGTTTGAACAAAGCTGCATTAGATTAAAAAAATAATTAAAAAATATATATAAATGGAGATGAACAAGACTAAATTCTGAACTGCACTAGATCAAGATCAATCTCTTTCGGAATCTTTCTAGGAGGAGGAAACTTGGGGAGAGAATGAGCAACTTTTTTTGCAGTTTCCAAGTAAGACACATATTTGTGAATCATCTCAATAGTAGTGTTATCAGCAATTGCATTATTGTCTTCAAAATTGGCCGTTTGGAAAGCTCGATTGATTAACAAATTATTGAATTCTTGTCTGCATTGTTTGATTGCTTGAATCTCTTTGAATGCCTTCTTCTTGAATGTCCAATTGCCTGTTTTCCAGTCGAAGTCATAGAGCACAAGGAACCTTTGGCCATACATGGCAATGAATTCCAATGCTGCAAGAATGAACTCAAACTCTTCTACTGACATGTGGTAAGCGAAGTTGATTCGTGTCCATCCGGGCTTCACTCCGTGGTAACCCTGTCAAAATTTATCATATATTAAGATCTAAAAAACTGAAATGATAGTCTATACATTTAATAACTAAGTCCGCAATTTACTAGTAAGGAAATGGTGAATTGGGTACCTTTTGGATGGCAGATTTGAAGGAAATTGAATGAGGCTCATCGACATGAAGAAGATGGTGACCGTAAGGTCCAGCACAAGCACACCCACCACGAGCCTGGATGCCAAAAAGGTCATTGAGGAGCTTTGCAACAAAAGGGCCATGAAGGGGTTTATCTCTCATGTTTCCAGACTCTCTCCAAATGGAAATTCCTCCATCACTTGCCTTGTTTTTTAAGTCATGAAATGAGGAATTTGTTGTGGAGAACACGAGAAAGGACAAGATGGCTTGCCTTTTTACACTATTATTTCCTAATACCCAAATGTTTGGATTTGCAAAAAGCCGGTCAAGCGCTCTGTCTATGAAATAGTGCTCCTGCTTTTGGATCACTTCATAACCAATGTATTCTTTTAACGAGAAAGCCATTGCTGTTCTTATTTTCTGAATAATTGGAGGAGTTCCGGCATCTTCTCTCTCTTCCACATCGTCATAATACAGTGTGTCCTGAAACACAGGCAGTATATCAGCAAACTTGGATTGGACATGAAACCATAAAATCATCTAGGCTAATTAACTTTATATATGACATCCTATACTCTCATATTAGCACATAGAGATTAGGTTAAAGAGAATCATATCTACATACCTCTTCATTGAATCCATTGACAAAGCTAACAGTTCCTCCACCACATGTTGAAGGCGGTGAAGATCCTAATTGATAAAGGACTTTGCTCATTAGAAGAATTCCGGGAGTACCTGGTCCCCCGACAAACTTATGTGGACTAAGGAATATTGCATCATATCCATCTACCTCACCGGATCTCATGTCAATCTCCACATAAGGACCACTACACATAATTAAGGCAAGGCAATTATCAATCTTACTATGTATTTTCGAAAGAAAAAATAAAAAAATAAAAGTTGTACTATGTCCTACAGAAACATCACAACTCACCAAAAAAAAAAAAAAAAAACTACTTTTTATGTACCTTGCAGCAAAATCAAAACATGCAAAAGCACCATATCGATGAAGAAGTGAAGCAAGGGAGCGCGTGTCGGTGTAAATTCCGGTGACATTACTACATGCTGAGAAGGAACCCAACATAGGGCGATTTGTGTGCTGGTATGACTCGAGGTGTTGTCTTAAAGCTGCAATATCGATTAGGCCATTTTCATCTAGACCGATCTCTACAACTTCTGCTAAGCTTTGGCGCCACGAGAGGAGGTTCGAATGGTGTTCATAAGGCCCAACAAAAACAACCCATCTTTCTTCACTCCTAAGGCTATTCAAAACCCTGTTCTTCATAGTTGATGCAACAGCAATTCCCATAACCTCTTGAAGCCGTTTAATGGCTGCGGTTGTGCCTGAGCCAACAAACAGTAGTGCATCTTCTTCTTTGCCCCCTAAGCAAGACTTGACATACTTACTTGCCGCATGCACCATTGTTGTAGTTTGATCCCCCACATAACTGTCACTTGTATGCGTATTCCCTATTAACACAGATGGACAGTTTTCAATTTTGATGTTTAAGTGAAAAAATTAATTGCAATTGCAAAATATGAGATATAAACCTAATATTTGACATAAAAAATTATAATTAAGTACGCTTACCATAGAATGGAAGAACCTTCTCAATGATGTACTTCTCAATGAACTGAAGACATCGGCCAGAGGCAGTGTAGTCGGCATAGGTAAGCCGACGCTTTCCAAAAGGAGTGTCAAACTCCACATCACTGCCGATCACTTGAGACCTCAACCATGCTAGTTTTCCTTGGGGAGGGCCATTCGGCACATCATTTTCGAGCATCCTAAACGATTTTGAAACCTCAAGACTGCATGCTTTTGTCATATTCATGGCCTTGACATGGAGTAGATCCGTCGTTGGGTCACGACGAGTGTCTTTCAACATGGGTTGCTCAATATCCATGATCTTTTTCGAGAAATGATTGATACAAAGGATGATTTTGGGTGAAATGATGGAGGATAAAGAACAAGACGTATTAATTGTTGGTGATGGCTTTGGGAGATAGGAAGGCTTAGTATTTATAGGGCTCAGACGACTCTCGTTTACCATTGAACACCGAGTGAAATATGTACGACCAAGTACCAGCCAGTCTTTATTCCAAGTCATCAGCTTGGAATTCTCTCTCCGTGTACAGTATTGTAATGCCATGTGCCAAGTCATATATGTATATTTTTTTGGTAAATATATTGCAAGTCAATTTATTTGACTATCAGAAAAATATATTCAGTTAAAAAAAAAAAAAAAAAAAACACGAAAAAAACTTGGTCTAGATGCAAGCAGTTTGAACATAACAACCCGTTGAATGACATTTTACGTTTTTTGAAAAACCGTCATAGCTGGAAAGATTTTGTGTTCTGCTTATAAAATTATTTGTTTAATCCATATACTGAAATTATAAAACTTAGGCAGTCACTAAATGAACGCTTTTAATCTTACAAAACTTCTTTCTTTGGTCAGATACAGTGTATGTAATAATCTGTTTACCAAGTCACTATAACCGATTTAATCTTATACCACTGCTTTAATTTGGTCAAACAAGAAGGATTTTTATCGGGTCAATTTAATCCTAACTACAATAACTTCTGAAAAATTGAAGTTGAGTTTGAGATCAATTATCAAGTTTTTCCTCAAAAATAGGGGTGTAATTTGGGCAGTGAACCAACTTTTTAGTAAAGTTGTACAATCATTTTTGTAATTAAAATTAATTTAGAAATCGAACTTAATTCGGGTTGAGATGCAGTTAACCAAGCTTAACCCAAATACTACAGAAGGTATATGATATAGAAGATACAAACTGCAAAGAAAATGGAAGTAAGGGATGGTCAAAATTGTTGAGCGGTGACTCAAATTCTTGTTTAGTTATATGTAACAGGTTTCACTTAAGTGCAATCGGTGGCAAGTAAGTGTAGGAAAAATTATGTATCATATACTATAGTATAATTTATTTAAATATTATTTGTAAATATAATATTTATTATAATAATCTATATATATATATTTATATAGTTTAATATCAAGAAAATAAAACTATAAAAGAACCTGATAAAGTCGAGACTAGAATTTAATTCTATAGCCTTAAGACAGATACGCCCCGCTACGGTGCTAACGGACTCTTCGGCGTCTATCTCCCAGGATACAACGACTTTTCTTCCTTTGGTAGTAGCACTTCAAACCAATGGAATAGGCGAACTGGCTCGGTGTAGTACTCTCTGTTGAACTCAGACTCGGAGACCAGGATTGAACCCTAACTCGGAGACCAAGATTGAACCGAAACTTGGAAACCAAGGTTCGAACCCAATCCAAACCAGTTTAGGTTGAACCCAAACCAGTGGCTGAACCGAACAAAGAAGAATTAGAAGAAGAAATTCAGAAGAAGAGAAGAAGATTTCTGAACTTGGTGTGTATTGAAATGAACCCAATGATGGGTATTTATAGGCTTGTTGGTGCCTATTCTGAATGGGTGCACCCATTGTTGACCAATCAGAATTAAAAAACTGTTGGTGGTTTTTAAATTGTAAAGGGTGCAACTCTTGGTTCAAAATTAAAACTGAATCCTTTTAATTCTGATCCAGCCTAGCCCTTTAATTTCGTCCAGTCCAGCAAGCAAATAATCCAACTCGGCCATTAATTCAGCCCAGTAAACAGGCCCATTTTGATAAGTCCAGCAACAAAATAAAATTACAACCACACAGTCCCATCCCAACTTTGGGTAAAAAGTTAAACCCATTTCACAATCAAGCCCCGCCCCGCCCTAGCCCGGGCCGGGCCGGGCCGGGCGGCGCGCGTGGTCGTTGGTTCGGATCCAGGCTAGCCTAGGTCCTCCCCCTCTTAAAAACTTGGGTGCCCTTGGGCCCAAACCCAAATCCCATACTAGACATATATATACTCAAGGTTGCTTTGCTACTTTTTCGATGTGGGACAAGCATTTCCCACTTTATTCACACCCATTTAGGCTTTATAAATCACTTACTTTGGAGCCAATTTCTCATTCACCCGGAAACGGATTTGAGAAAATAAATATACCACGTTCATCTCCTCGCAGAGAGGAACGCGTTCGTCAATAGATTCGCAAAAAATTCTTAGCGGAATCTTTTTAAAAATCCTTCCAAAGTTTGCGTTTTCTAATGCCGTTTCCAACAATCCCCCACATGAATGAAAATTTGCGCAGATTACAAAAGGAGAAGATACAGACACTATAGAGAGTACTATTGGAAAGTTACTGCATCGGGGTAGGTAGCTTTTGGCCTTGAGCCTTCCCTAGTGTATTACTATCAGATTTACTAGCTAACCAGTGAACATTATGTCTTGAACTATTCAGCCGTTGATGTAAACCAAGACAATAGCAAACACACAATTCCTTCCTACACAAAGTCGGTTCTCACGGTTGTGTTCATATGGCCCTGAACAACGCCTGGTATTTCATGAGCGCTCCAGAAAACTTAGCCTTAGAAGTTCTCATAGAAGCGGCCCCACTTCACACTCATATAGGTGACTTCTTATTAAGAGTATCCTACCATACCCCACTTGAATTTTCAAGGTATAAGAGTCATTAAAAGCATAGCTTATCCTACTCATCGCTGTAGGTAACACTGTCTCATCATAGAAATGGGTAGAAGATTGAATCTTCCCAGTGCTTCTGGTGAGCCATTCAGAATTTCTGTTGTCCCTTTGAACCTAGATCTTGGGATCTCCAGTCAACTAGGTTGGGTTTCCATTAAGATGACTCGTTAGCTTTCGGCTTTAATCCCATTCCCCTCGATGAACTATATACTTGCTCTCTTGTCAAACCTTTTGTAAACGGATCCGCTAAATTATCTTTTGACCTGATATAATCTATTGAGATTATCCCACTTGAGAGCAATTGTCTAACGGTATTATGTCGTCGACGTATATGTCGAGACTTACCGTTGTACATATTACTTTGTGCCCTTCCAATTGCTGATTGACTATCACAATGTATACATATAGCGGGCACCGGTTTAGGCCAATTTGGAATATCTTCTAAGAAATTACGAAGCCACTCAGCTTCTTCACCTGCTTTATCCAAAGCAATAAATTCAGATTCCATAGTGGATCTGGCAATACAAGTTTGTTTTGAAGATTTCCAAGATATGGCACCTCCTCCAATAGTAAAGACATAGCCACTTGTGGATTTAGAATCCTTAGTATCTGATATCCAATTAGCATCACTGTATCCTTCAAGTACTGCTGGATATCTAGAATAATGTAATCCATAACTTATAGTATATTTTAAATACCTTAGAACCGTAATTATTGCAGTCCAATGGTTCTTTCCTGGATTACTAGTATATCTACTCAATTTATTAACTGAGTATGCTATGTCTGGGCGTGTGCAATTCGTCAAATACATTAAGCTTCCTATAATGCGAGAATACTCAAGTTGTGATATGCTAGGACCAGTATTTTTCGATAAATGAAGATTTACATCAACAGAAGTCTTTACAAGACTACTATCCCCTTTATTAAACTTTTCTAATATTTTCTCAATATAGTGAGATTGAGATAATACTAGACCATCTGATGTTCTAGAAATCTTAATTCCTAGTATGACATCTGCTATGCCTAAATCTTTCATATCAAAATTTTTGGTCAACATCTTTTTAGTAGTTTTGATTATAACATCATTACTACCCATTATTAGCATATCATCCACATATAGGCACACAATGACATATCCATTTTGAGTGTTTTTCACATACACACATTTATCACACTCATTAATTTTAAAACCATTTGACAACATCACTTTGTCAAATTTTTCATGCCATTGTTTAGGTGCTTGTTTTAATCCATATAAGGATTTTACAAGTTTGCACACCTTCTTTTCTTTCCCTGGAACTATAAACCCTTCAGGTTGTTCCATATAGATTTCCTCCTCTAATTCACCATTTAAGAAGGCAGTCTTAACATCCATTTGATGTATTTCTAAGTTTTGCAGTGCTGTAATAGCTAGTAACAATCTAATGGATGTTATTCTTGTGACTGGTGAATATGTATCAAAATAATCCAGGCCTTCTTTTTGCCTATATCCCTTAGCAACAAGTCGGGCTTTATATTTTTCAATTGAACCATCAGGCTTCATCTTCCTCTTGAAAATCCACTTATACCCTAAAGGTTTAGTACCAGGAGGAAGATCCACCAGCTCCCAAGTATGATTTTGCATGATGGATTCAATTTCACTATTTATGGCTTCTTTCCATAAATTAGCTTCAGGAGAAGACATAGCTTCCTTGTAGCTTTGTGGCTCATTCTCCAATATATATGTCAGAAAGTCAGGACCGAATGACTTAGACGTTCTAGCTCTTTTGCTACGTCTAGGTTCTTCCTCATTTTCATCATCTATAGACTCTTGGTCTATATTCTCTTGTATATTGCTATTAGCAGTATTATAATTTCTTTTAAGAGGATTTTTGCAAGGAAATATATCCTCAAAGAAATAAGCATTCCTTGACTCAATAATTGTATTGATATGGATATCAGGAATGTCTGATTTATGCACAAGAAAACGATATGCACTACTATTCTGTGCATAGCCTATGAAAATACCATCAAAGGTTTTTGGTCCTATCTTAACTTTCTTAGGAGTAGGAACCGCAACCTTAGCTAAACACCCCCACACTTTTAAGAATTTATAGGAAGGTTTTTGACCTTTCCATAATTCATAAGGTGTCACATTTGATTTCTTTTGAGGTACCTTCTTGAGAACATAATTAGCAGAGAGCAAAGCTTCCCCCCACAAATTCTGGGTTAAACCAGAACTTATCAACATAGCATTCATCATTTCTTTTAAGGTACGGTTTTTGCGTTCAGCAACACCGTTCTGTTGAGGTGAATAAGGAGCGGTAGTTTGGTGAATAATACCATGTTCTGAACAAATGTCA